GAAAGGATAGAAGAGTTATAAAACACCTTTCTTACGTTTCACACAAAGAAAGGATAGAACAGTTATAAAACACCCTTTTTGCGTTTCAACCTAGAAAGGATAGAACAGTTATAAAACACCCTTCTTGCGTTTCACACCTAGAAAGGATAGAACAGTTATAAAACACCCTTTTTACTTTTCACACATAAAAAGGATAGAACAGTTATAAAACACCCTTCTTACGTTTCACACCTAAAAAGGATAGAACAGTTATAAAACACCCTTCTTACGTTTCACACCTAGATAGGATAGAACAGTTATAAAACACCCTTCTTACATTTCACACACAGAAAGGATAGAACAGTTATAAAACACCTTTCTTACGTTTCACACCTAAAATGTTAGAACAGTTGTATAACACCCTTCTTACGTTTCACACACAGAAAGGATAGAACAGTTATGAAACACCTTTCTTACGTTTCACACCTAAAAATGATAGAACAGTTGTATAACACCCTTCTTACGTTTCACACACAGAAAGGATAGAATAGTTATAAAACACCTTTCTTACGTTTCACACCTAGAAAGGATAGAACAGTTATAAAACACCTTTTTCACATTTCAACCTAGAAAGGATAGAACACTTATAAAACATCTTTTTTACGTTTCACACACAGAAAGAATAGAATCGTTATAAAATACCCTTTTTACGTTTGAACCTAGAATGGATAGAACAGTCATAAAATACCCTTCTTACATTCTACACAGGGAAATTATCAATTAAGTATGAACACCTTTATTAGATTCAACACCAACATGGTATCGTACAATACGATAATAGCAACACTGAGAAGCATATTTGGTTTCTAAAATAGGACCCCAGAGTCCTAGGTCAAAGACAGACACTACTTAAACAAGTTATTGTAAAAGCTAAACACTTCGTAAGTGAATTGCGACAGCCAACTTCATCAGGAGCAAACCTCTGAAACAGGAGCACCTCCTCTACTAACCCATCTGTTTCAGGAACAACCAGATTGCATAAAGAGCAAGCCATGTGCAGCTGGAGTAGCCTATCTTCATCAGGAGCAACCCATCTGAAACAGATGCATCCCCTCTACTAACCGTTCTGTTTCAGGACAACCAGATTGCATAAAGAGCAAGCCATCTGCAGTT